AGATGATTTCTACTTTCATTTTAATAATGACCCTAAAGTCACCACCATCTCCCATAGCAGTGATGGTGTCCCTTGTGTGTGAAAGGACTTGCTCTTTGAAAGAACAATTCCGCAGTGCCAGATCCACAGAGACCCCGAGCTGCCTCCCCACCCGCTTCTGCCTCCTCGAATACACAGGGTGCCTGCCAGGTGCAGTGGGCAATGCAGAGGGGAGGCAGCACCTGGCATCAGGGTGTGCACGGCGAAGTGCAGAGACAGACAGGCAGTTAGAACCCCTGTCATGAGTGTGATGAGGGTGGTGCAGCAGGAGGGAAGCTTCCTGAAGCCACAAGGCCTGCTCTGAGCCCTGGAGGCTGAGCAGGAGTCTTATAGGGAAGCACACTGTGGCTGGAAGGTCTCTCCCACTCAAGGAACCAGAAGCAGCCAGCAATGCTGATGCTGAGGCTGAGGCCAGCATGGGATCAAGGAGGGGAGGATAGAAAGGCAGGCAGGGGCCAGAGTGGGAAAGGCTTCCTATGTCCTGCCTAGGGGTTTGGCTCCCACCCCTGCCAGCAGGAGCCCCTCTAAGGCCTTATGCAAAGGACCCTTTAGGGTTCTGGAGGAGGCACGGGCAGGCCTTGTGTCTGCCCACCTGGAGAGGGAGGCCTTGGGATGTGCCAGCTCTGTGCTGTTCTAACAGAGAAATCCTTGCAGATTTCAGTTCTCATTTCATTGTAGGTCAGCTTTCCACTACCCTTCATGCCCCAGTTGGCACTCTGAATGGATCTAGAGTCAGCCATCTGTCTGCCATGGAGGCAGTAGAACTGATGGAACCCAGCCATCAGATTCATTTTCTAACAGTCAGTAGGGAAAATACTCACCACAATTAGAGAAATGGTTCATACCTAAGAAATAGAAAATTCTTACCTAAGAAAATAGAAAATTGACCTTAAAAAAAAATCAACAGAAAGACAGGCAAAGGACATGTGTAAACAATAATTTCAGATAATATATAGAAGCACAAAGAATACAAATAAATATATAAAATAAAAATACACAAGAAAAATATTTAATTCTATCAGTGATCAAAGTCATGACCATTTAAGCAAAGAGTTGTCACTTTCCATATATCAAATTTACCATATTTAAGAAGCAAACACCCAACTCAGTACTGAGTGGTGAAGTATACTCTCCCCAACACAGCTGGGGGCTTGTAAATTGGAGACTTTTAAGAAAGAAACTTGGGAAAGTAAAACCAAAAGCCATGACAATCTCTTATTCTGTGATTTTACTCTCATGAATTTCTCTTAAGGGAATAATAAGGCAGCAGATATATTCCCAAGGACACTGCCATATTAAATGGTGGGCCTTGAATGTAGAAGTTGAGTGTTTGAAAAAACAAGATGAAACCAAGAAACACAAAAAGTCACCCATGAGGAAATGTCTCAGGTCATGGGACAGGACAAAGGGGAGGGCAAGCTGCTGGCCTCCAGCCACCAGCTCACGCCTCAGAAGTATTTTCCAGACTGTGTGCCCTGCAGAGGCAGGGCAGCTCAGCCAGCCTGGATGTGTAACTCTCAAGGGATAGGGGCGGTTCTGAGAGCCTGTCCCAGTGATGCTGGGTGCAGTTGGGGTCAGGCTCAGCCCTGCTAAGGGGCAGAATCTTTCCAGGGTGCAATTGGGTTTAGACAGTATTTATTAGGCATGTGCTGGGTGCTGGCAAATCTATGGGGCAGGAGACTTGTCTGTTTTTCTCACAGTCATACCCCTAGAGCCTGGAAGAATGCCAGCCAGACCAAGTTCATGGTCAGCACAGGGTGCATGGGCCTGAAGCTTGCATGATTTGGAAGAGGCTCTTTAAGAAAAAGTATTCAAAACTCTTTGAAAAATTGGTTCAAAAGAATTTATTTAGCATGAGAAAACAGCAAATTCTAAGAGTTTAAAAGCCTACAAAGGCCACAAATATACAAGATACAGGAAAATAGTATAATCACATTAACTAGCTGACTGACTCATCTGTAACACATTCACACAGACCAGTTTTATTGGGCTGTACTGGGTCTTAGTTGCAGCACGTGGGACCTTTAGCTGTGGCATGTGAACTCTTAGTTGAAGCATGTGCGGGTCTGGTTCCCTGACCAGGGATTGAACTTGGAGCCCCTGCATTGGGAGCACAGGTCTTAGTCTCTGGACGACCAGGGAAATCCCACTGCCACATGTTTTGAGGCTGTGGCTCCACATCTCCCAGGGCTGGGCTCAGTGAGGCTTGTAAGGGTCACAGTGCGGCCCTGGGGCTACATGGTGGCCTCGGGACCCTGGCTGGTCAGCAGAGGGCAGGGTCCGAGCCAGCCCTGGAATGAATGGTGATGATGGGGGCAACCAAGTACATAAGCCCCCACCCCCAACTCTAACTTAAGTATCACTGTCTCAACATCCCACTAGCCAGGCCCCAAATTACCAGCAGCCTCCCCCATCACCTACGAAAGGAAATGCACTGGGAAAGTTGTGGTTAAAATATCTCACTTGGCAAATTTTACCAAAACCTATGACTTTCTGAAAGTGTCACTAGAATCCCTCCTACAGCCTTGATAGGGAACAAGGCGAGTGGGGGGTCCCTGAAGTGAAAGGCCACCTCTGTGCTTAGTAAATAAGTGCTGCTTTGAGTAAAGGATACTGTGACCCTGTGATTTATAATGAGAAATACTCATTTGGTCTTTGTCCCTGTTTCTGACTCACAGCTCCCCAAACCCTTGGGGCTTCTTGAGGAGTAAGAGCCACAGAAGCATTTTTTGTTCCGCTGGGGCTCTTGTCCTCTGATCCACAAGGTGAAATGGGTGTCCTGTTCCCACAATGAGCTCCTTTCCACCACTGCTGGGCTGATGTCAGTGAGGAGACCTTTGGAAGTGCCTGCACATGGGGGCTGGTTGCCAGGGGAACCATGAATAGAGGGGTGCAAACTTCAGCCCCATCCCCTGACTTCCTGGAAGGAGAGAGGCTAGAGATTGACTCAGTCACCAGTGGCCAATGGCTTGATCAATAGAGGCTACGGAGTGAAACCTCCGTAAAACTCAAAAGGACAGAGTCTGGAGAGCTTCCAGCTAGCGATCTGGTGAGAGTGGTGCCCTCATGGAGTGCAGAGAAGCTCTGTGTCCTTCCCCATGACTCACTTGCCATCTGCATCTTCTCCATTTAACCATGAATATTCATTGGAAGGACTGATGCTGAATCTAAGCTCCAATACTTAGCCAACCCATTGGAAAAGACCCTGATGCTGGGAAAAACTGAAGGCAGGAGAAGAGGGTGACAGAGGATGAGATGGTTGAATTGCATTGCTGATGCAATGGACTGAACTTGAGAAAAGCTAGGAGATGGTGAGGGAGAGAGAAGCCTGATGTGCTGCAGTCCATAGGGCCGCAAAGAGTCAGACACAACTTGCCAACTGAACAGCACAACAAAAATCCAGTAATCTAGTAAGTAAAATGTTTCTCTAACTTCTGTGAGCTGCTCTAACAAATTAATCAAGCCCCAGGAGAGGGTTCTAGGAACCTCCAAATTGTAGGCATTTGGTCAGAAGCACGGGTGACAGTCTGGGCCTGTGACTGGCATCTGAAGTAGGGCTGGTCTTGCGGGGATGAGCCTTCAGCCTATGGGACCTGACGCTCTCTCCGGGTGAAGAGTGTCAGAACCGAGTTGACTCATAGGATCCCCAGCTGGGGTCAGAGCCCTGCTTGTTGGTGGTGTAGGGAAAAGCACCTCTCCCACTCCTACACTGGACTCAGTGCTAGAATCATCAGAGCTGCACCTGCCCTCCAGGAGCTCCAGTTCCAGCGCAGAGACCTGGAACATCTAGTCCAGGATGGATTCCTGAGTCTTCTTGGGCATTGCCTGGGCAGCAGGGACCCTGGAGCTGACCTCGGAGCCAGCCTAGGCCTGGGCACTCAGATGTGGAGCACTGTTCACAAGAGGTACTTGCGCTCCCTCATGGCCTTGATTCTTGCTCCAAAGCACACTTGTATCTGGGAACTCCGCCTTCTAGGCTGGGGGCTGCTGTTCCTACTTCTTCAATCCATGTGGCGGCTGGAAGGGGAGGTGGGGAGGCAGTATGCGGCTCAGGTCTGCAGATTCAGGTTTCTGAGTGGAAATCAGAATGGGGACCTTGGATTATAAGGGACAGATCCCAGGGGAGGTATTTTTGTGGCCCCACTGTGTGGGTTTGGGGACCAAGTTCATTAGGTGGATGGCCATCACGTGTTAACTGTAGCGGGGGCAGAGGAGTCAGGGGTTGGGGGACCTGAAGGAGGAAAGCCATGCTGTTTGCTTTCACCCATGCAGTTTGGCTGGTCTCCACCTGCTCAGAGAATCCCATTGTCTGACCTGCTGGTGAGAAAGCAATTTCAGATACTCATCTAGAAATCAAGACTCTTCTTCCGGCCCCTGTGAGGGGTGGCCTTGAAGATCCCCACTGGATGGATCCTGTTCTTTGGGAGCTGGACCCACCTGGCTCCTGCCTCACTCCTCGGCTGGGTGGCCGCATCCTCCCTGGGGGCCTCTCCCCACCCTGATCCAGCCCAGGCATGCCCTTGCCTCCCACAGGACTAAGGGACAGGCTAGAACCAGATCTGTCGCCCTCTGAAGCTGGACCTCGGTGCCCCACCCCCACACTCTGGTTCACACCTGTGAGGCTGTGCTCAGTGATAAACTGCGATGCTGACCCAGAATGGCCACGTTCTGTGGGTTGGACTGCAAGCAGCCCCCTGCCGGGCACACAAGCCAGCCGAGCAGCCACTCAGTGGACACTCGGCATCGTTGAGGCCCTTCCCTCCTCCACGGGTGAAGTGCTTCTGTTCCAGACCACAGTCCTGCGCACTTTACAAGCTGCCTGAGTTTGTGTAGAATGGCACGGGGCAAGGATTTTGGTAGTTAGAGTCGATCAATTCTGCTGGCCACTCTTCAAATGAACTCCCCAGTCCAGTCCACATTTGCTTCTTTGTTTTTGGATCTGAGAAGCCAGGTTGGGACCTTCAGCCGCCATCAGTGAGCTGGTACAGAGTTGCCCTCCTGGCCACAGTGCCTGAAGAGGACCAGACCGAAAGCAGCATCAGACCAGAAAGCAGAGATTCAGGTTCTAGCTTCTCAAAAAAAAAAAAGAAAAGAAAAAAATTCAAGCCATTAGCTTCTTTGGGAGCTGTCTTCTTTTTAGTATCTCAGTTCTTACACATCTCCCAAACTTAGTTCCCTAACCTCGAAGAAAACTTATGGTCAGGTGCTGACCATTGTTGTCCTAAAATCCCAAATCTAACTTCAAAAAGAATTTGATCTGAAAATCTTCAATTCTGTCTGGGCTTGGTTCATAGATTTTATTTCATGCAAAGCAACCATTGAAGAAAGACAGACATCCCTTTTGTGTCCAGGGGCCCCAAGCCCCTAGGTGTTTGGAGCTATTTATAAATATGACACATGATGATGCCTGCCTTGGCAAGTGGCTCATACAGAGCATGAAGTTTGGGGAGGTCGGAACAGATACCCCAGTCTGAATCTGGCCATGATGTCATTTACCTTCTAATTCCAGGTGGCTTGCTGCCCGGGGACGCCATCTGAGCCCTTGAGGGAGCCAGGGCCCCAAGGGAAATTCAGTCCCTGAGGACCCCAGCTGGTAGGTTGAAAAACTCTGCACCTGTCAAAGGCAGTGGTGCTGGGAATGCTACAGCACTCGGTTTTCTCAATTTATGCCCTTGGAGCAGTTCTCGCACATTTTAATGGAAATCAGGTTTCCCTCTGCCTTGCCATCCTATGCCTGTCCTTTTTAGGCAACAGTACCACCCAGGGCAGAGCACGATGCTTAAACCACCCAGAGCCCAGACCCAGCGAGCCTACGGCTGAGCCTTCTGTAGATGCTCCTAAATGTCACTTGGAACCCCCTTTTCTTTGGTGATTTTGAAGAATCATTCAGAATGGTAGAAATCAAACAAAAAGGTAAGAAAAGCATTTTTAAAGGAATTTATAGTAGATCCTAAGAAACTGTATGGCTGCCTGGCATTGCTCCCCAGAACACTCCTGGAACTGATTGTTGAATAATTTGTGACCGACATGAAGTGGACATGGTGATGGCTGCAAGTCTGAGCTAGTTCAGAACTTGCAGTTCATGCCAACCTCACACCCCAATTTGTTTAGGTAGTGTTGCTCAGCTAATGCCTCAAAGGAAGCCCAAAGAGCATTTTTGCAATGTCATAAAAAAAGAAATATAAAGTATGACTTAGATCAGATCAATGAATAAAATACCAACCAAGATGAATGTGGACTTTGGACTTAAAATTTTAAATATGAAAAAAGAAGGAGGTATATGTATATATATAACTGATTCACTTTGCTGTACATCTGAAACTAACAACAACATTGTAAATCAACTATAGTCTAATAAAAATCAAAAACAAAACAAATTTTAAGTGTGGGAGAAACATCTTGGCAATTCATCTGAAAAGTAATTGGAAAGTTAAATAAACTACAATGTTACGTGACTAAAACACACGCACAAGCCTGCCCTGCCTGCCTGGAGAAGCTGTGCCCTCACTGAGGGCAGGTTCTGTTCACACTGTCACACCTGCTCCTATACCAGAGCCAGGCACACACTGGGAGCTCAGCCCTTGCTGCTGGCTCCTGCCTCAGCCCTCGTGGGCTCGGGGCAGAGGAGATAGCCCTGACCCCGCAAGGTAGGTCCCGGCAGGCCAGAAGGAGAAGTGCTCAGGGTCTCTTTGAGAGGCAGTGCAGGGCTGGGAGAACGAAGGCCTGCATTGAGGTAGGGACAAGAGTGGCTCCAGGTGGAGGATGCAGAGGGGTCATGTTTGCAGGTCCAGGTGGCTGACCTTGGCAGACACATGGTCAATAGACCCCTACCAGCTCTCCTACAGTTTCCTCTGCAATTGGTTGAGTTCATGTGACCAAATCTAAAAATGATGTATGTCACTTCAATGGCCATGGATACTAAGAGTTGGTGTGTCTCCTCCATTCCTGTGAAATTATAGAATACACATACATATATACATATATGTATGTATACACACACACACGTATATAGTCTCTGTCCTTGGTTCCAGGCATAGAACTCCTAAAACCCACATAATTTCCCAAATGATAAGAACAGCAGGAGTAGCTTTTGTTTCTCTATCTTTGTCTTTTAGCCACCACTATTTTGGACTCCTTTTTACTATTCTAACTATCTAACATTCCCCGCTCAAGAGATAGAGGTATCCTGAGAAATCTTATTCCCAGAAACTTAATTTTGGGGGTGTTCATTGGAATGGCACTCACTTGTAGTTCTGAATAGGTATCTGAGATCTCCCAGGGGCTCACAGGTGTACTGAGTGTCCTCTTCTGTTTTCTTCCACGGCTTGACTCGTGAGTAGTGAATCCAGGAGTCGTGTCCTGGTACCTTGACTGCTGTGGGGGTAGAAATTATTACAGGGTAGGGGCCCTTCCATGTGGGCTGGAGTTGAGCATTTGGGGACCCATCTTTCCAGACTTTAATTAGGACTTGAGTCCCTGGAGCATATAGTGGTGGCTCTTTAGAATCTTTTGGGTCCTGGTTGACACCCCACATGTGTATTTCTTGTTGGAATTGCCCAATGGCCATGTTATATATAAGACTGGAGGGTCTGAACCTCTGGATCTAGGAAGAGGTCATTGACATAAACCAAAGGTCTCCCATATAGCATCTCATCAGGACTAAGACCAACCTGTTCCTTAGGGGCAGTACAGGTGTGGAGGAGAGCTATTGGTAAAGCCTCCTTCCATCCAGGGAGGTCTCCTGGGTTATCTTTTTTATCGTTGATTTTAAGAATTGGTTGGCTCTTTCTATTTTTCCTGAAGACTGAGGCCTGCAGGCACAATGGAGATAATAAGTAATGCCCAATGCTTTAGAGACCCCTTGGGTGAACTTAGAAGTAAATGATGTCCCATTGTCACTTTGTAATGACCTGGGCAGGCCCAAGTCTCAGAATGATTTCATGGAGCAGTTTTTTTACCACCTCCTCAGCCTTCTCAGTTCAGGTGGGAAAGACTTCAATCCATCCTGTGAATGTATCTATCATGACTAATAGGTATTTATACCCTTGAGAAACTGGCATCTGTGTGAAGTCTATCTGCCAGTCCTCTCCTGGTCCCACGCCATTGGACGGGCTGGGCCAGCTGGGGTCTTCGAGCTCCTTGGGGGTTGTTTAATTGGCAAGTGGGACAAGAGGAGACCACTTGCCCTATAGTTGTTTGGAGGCCTGTTCCTCTGAAGGAACTTTCTAGTAATCTTTGGAGGGCCTTCTCCCCTAAATGAATGGTGGCATGTAAGGAGTTAACCAACTTCCATTGGAGGTTTCCAGGCAGAAAAAGGAGTCCCTCCTTTTGGAACCACCCCATATGATCTTCTTGAAAGCCCTCACTCTTAACTTTAAGAGTCTCACCTTCAGTATATGAAGGAGTTTCTGGCAAATTAGTCTGTGGAACTAAGGGGGCAATCCCTATTAGGCCACTGTTCTGTAACGCTGCTCGCTTAGCTGCCTGATCAGCTGCTTGGTTCCCTCGTGCCACTTCCACACTCCCTTTTCTATGTCCTTTACAGTGGGAGACTGAAACCTCAGCGGGGCAGATGGACTGCTTCCAAGAGTCTAAGGATTTGGTCACCATATTTGATTGGGGACCCTCATGTGGTCAAGTGGCCTTTTTCTTTCCAAATAGCAGCAAGTGCATGTGGCATCAGAAAGGCATACTCGGAGTCAGTGTAAACGGCTCTCTTTTTCCTTTTCCCAGCTCTAAGACTCATCTCACATGCTAGTAAAGTAATGCTTAAAATTCTCCAAGCCAGACTTCAGCAATACGTGAACCGTGAACTTCCAGGTGTTCAAGCTGGTTTTAGAAAAGGCAGAGGAACAAGAGATCAAATTGCCAACATCTGCTGGATCATCGAAAAAGCAAGAGAGTTCCAGAAAAACATCTATTTCTGCTTTATTGACTATACCAGATCATTTGACTGTGTGGATCACAATAAACTGTGGAAAATTCTGAAAGAGATGGGAATACCAGACCACCTGACCTGCCTCTTGAGAAACCTGTATGCAGGTCAGGAAGCAACAGTTAGAACTGGACATGGAACAACACACTGGTTCCAAATAGGAAAAGGAGTACGTCAAGGCTGTATTTTGTCACCCTGCTTATTTAACTTATATGCAGAGTACATAATGAGAAACGCTGGGCTGGAAGAAGCACAAGCTGGAATCAAGATTGCCGGGAGAAATATCAATAACCTCAGATATGCAGATGACACCAGTCTTATGGCAGAAAGTAAAGAAGAACTAAAGAGCCTCTTGATAAAAGTGAAAGACGAGAGTGAAAAAGTTGGCTTAAAGCTCAACATTTAGAAAACTAAGATCATGGCATCTGGTCCCATCACTTCATGGGAAATAGATGGGGAAACAGTGGAAACAGTGGCTGACTTTACTTTTCTGGGCTCCAAAATCACTGCAGATAGTGACTGCAGCCATGAAATTAAAAGACACTTACTCTTTGGAAGGAAAGTTATGACCAACCTAGACAGCATATTAAAAAGCAGAGGCATTACTTTGCCAACAAAGTTCTGTCTAGTCAAGGCTATGATTTTTCCAGTGGTCATGTATGGATGTGACAGTTGGACTATAAAGAAAGCTGGGTGCTGAATAATTGATGCTTTTGAACTGTGGTGTTGGAGAAGACTCTTGAGAGTCCCTTGGACTGCAAGGAGATCCAACCAGTCCATCCTAAAGGAGATCAGTCCTGGATATTCATTGGAAGGACTGATGTTGAAGCTGAAACTCCAATACTTTGGCCACCTGATGTGAAGAACTGACTCATTTCCAAAGACCCTGGGAAAGATTGAGGGCAGGAGGAGAAGGGGACGACAGAGGATGAGATGGTTGGATGGCATCATCGACAAGATGGACATGAGTTTGGGTTAACTCCAGGAGTTGATGATGGACAGGGAGGCCTGGCGTACTGCAGTTCATGGGGTCGCAAAGAGTCAGACACGACTGAGCGACTGAACTAAACTGAACTGAAAGCTCAAGTCAGGGCTATGAGCTCAGCCAATTGGACTGAAGTACCTGGTGGCAAAGGTTTAGCCTCTATGGTCTCAAAATTTTAAACTATCATATATCTGGCTCTTCTTTTTCCATCTAAGACAAAGCTGCTTCTATCAGTGTACCAGATTTCCTCAGGACTGGCTAGAGGATCTTCTGACAATCCCTCTCAGGGTTTTGTCCAGTGGTCCAAGGTTTCTAGGCAAGAGTGAAAGCGGAGAGAGCCCTCGGGGGTAGGCAGGAGGATGGCTGGATTAAGAACCTCACAAGGGGATATAGTCAGGCCTGGATTTTCCATCAGCATCATTTTCCGTCCTTTGATCAGACATCCATGAATGGTCTCTCCCATTTAGGAGTTGTTTCACTTGGTGGCTAGTAAAAATAGTTAGTTTACCCCCAAGAGGAAATTTTAAAACATCTTCTATCAGGACTGCAACAGCTGCAAGATTTCGAAGACAGTGAAAGAACTCTTCCCAATAATGGAGTAGGACACTCAGGGACCACTAGAAACTGGTGGGAAAATATGTGTCCATCCCAGAAACAAAGACGTGCTCAAGTGAATCTTTTTGTAATTGTTTTTCCTCTAGCATCCAAAATGGTACAGGTTTGAAGAGAGAAGGCTCTGGAACAGGAGGTTAGGACAGAGTCGGTAGCCCGGGTGTCAACCGAGAAATTCTTGGACTTACCTACCACATTCAATTTCACCCTTGGTTCCAGCCTGTGATGGTTATCTGTGACAGACAGGCTGGCTGGAGTGGTCCGCTTCAGTCCTGTTGAACCATCATGAGGGAAGGCTTGACACTTGACCTTGAGTTTCTTGGGTCCCCAGGGGAGAGTGCCACCCAATGTCCCAATTGATGGCATTTGTGGCAAGTCGTCCTACAAGACTTGTCACGATTTCGACACTCTTTGGTCCAATGTCTTGCCTGTCTGTAGATTAGGCATTTGCCTCGTGCCTTGTCCTTCAAGGACTCAGGGTTTGCCGTAGGGCTTCCCTGGAGGGCAGCCAGCATCTGGGCATACCTTGCCTCTTTCCTTCTCTCCCTTTCCTGGGCCTTGGCCTCCTTCTCCTGTCCTTTTATAAAAGGTATTGGTGGCTGTCTGGACCATCTCACCTAAAGAGGCAGCAGGGTCCTGCTGCTGTAGCTGTTGTAACTTTATCCTGATGTTTGATGCACACTGGAACAGGAATTTGTCCTTTAAAATCACCAGTCCCTCGTAAGAGTCTAAGTCCAGATTGGTAAACTTTTGGAAGGCCTCTTTTAGCCTTTCCAGAAGGGCAATGGGGTTCTTGTTGGGCTCCTGAGTTATTGCTGAAACCAGGCACAGTTCCACAACTAATGACCTCCTTCTATTTCCATGGGTGGACTTCCTTAGGCATGAGTCTTTCTGAAGCTTATCCTACTCAGTACTGTTGCAACCTGAGACCTGGGTGTCCCTGGGTCAAGGTGCAGATCCCTAGGCAGGTCGAGGTATGGCAATCTCCTGGAGATGAAATCCCTAGGCAGGTCAAGGCAGGTTGACCTCCTGGGACCCCTGGACTGGCAGATCCCTGAGCAGGTTGATGCATGACAACCTCCTGGGGACCAGATCCCTAGGCAGATCAAGGCAGGTTGACATCTTGGGATCCCCAGGCTAGAGCTGGGCATCCCCAAGGTCTCCAGCATGACTAGTGCTGGGTGGGATTAAGGGGTTGTAATCTTAACTCATTGCCAGTTTGTCCACAGTGGATGGGAATAGATATCATGATGTAAAGCAATCCAAGCCTGTGTGCTGAGACTGAGAACCTGGTGAAACAGTCAGAAGACTTATCCTCTTATTGCTCTAAGGGAATGTAAGTCACTGATTTCCTACCCTAGTCCTCCCTAAGAGCAGCTTAGGGTGTCTCCAGTGGTAAACATCTCATTGTCATAGACCCACTTTAAATAATAACAGAAGTAATGACAAAGGAGTGGGTTGTTTGGTCCTGTTAAATGCATTAGAGTATTTTAATAATAAGCAGGGTGGAGCAATGTTGCCTACAGTGGGGGCAGGGTCCTGATTGTAGGAGTTAGTAAGTGGCTTAAGAAGAAACTGATGAGAGGCAACAGACCAGATGTTCCATAAAAGTGGAGTGGAGATTTGATCCAGGGGATAAGTTTGTTGCTTTAGGAGAAGGGTGGTAACGGTTTGGGCCCAAATGGTGTACAGAGCTAGCTCCCAAAGTGGCAAACATTGCCTTGGAAGTCCAGTTGCCCTTGAAGGGATGCCAGCAGATGGACTTCTAGCATGCATTGTGTGCCTGTCACCCGTCCTAGTGGGTTCACTGAGAGATGCTGTTGACACACATGTTATAGGAAACATTAAAGATGAAAGCCTGAATCTCTAGAAGGATTGGACATTATACAGTATTTCCTTCCCAAGGGCCAACTATTTTCTGATTGTCCCTCCAGAATATTATAGAGGCAACATTGCGGGCCTGGGCAGGGCTCAGGAAAAAAGCATGAGACAGGAGGGAAGGGGGCAGGACACAACTTTTGACAGAATGACATAGCCCAAGGGCATAAGATAAACCATTAAAATCAAATGGGTCCAAGATGGACAACTTAGAGTTGCAAGTTAAGTTTTATTCGGGACAAAATGAGGACTACAGACTGGGAGGCAGCATCTCAGATAGCTCTGAGAGACTGCTCCAAAGTGGCAGTGGGGAAGTTCAATACCACGAAGCACTCATTTTACAAAAGCACTCATTTTACATTTTTGTTAGTCATGAGGATCTGATGTCACCATGAAGGGATTAGTGCTCCTCTAGATATGAGGAGATGCAAGGATTGAGATAATAAAATCTGTTTCTAAAAACATCCAACTATCTAAAGACCAGATTCCCTGGAGCCCAGAGCACCTCACTCCACCATGAACTCCCTCAGGTGGTGTTGAAGGTCAACAACTATAGCAGCATGGGGTTGAATCTCCATGGCAGATGGCAAGGGCCTTTGTTGTTCAGTTGTTGGTAATGTTCTCAGTAAGTGCCAGTTTGTAGTTGACAGCAGTCAAGTCAAATTCAACTAAACCTTGATCTTCAATCTGCAAGCTAAAGGACACACCCAGAGGTGCCATGACAGTTCCAAGGCACTGTCAAAAGACCAAGGAGTGGATGATTCCTCAATTGTTGGAATGATCCTCCCACTCATTAGCATATGAAATCAGCCAGCTCACAAAAACTAACCACACCACATTTCATGGGCACCCATACACCTTCTGTGATGGCACACATTCTGTGGACTGTGCTTCTCTCTGAATCCGAACAAATCCACCTCTTATCTATTGCTGTGTCTCACTGAATTCTTTTTGCAATGAGACATCAAGAACCTGAGCTTCATTAGGTCCTGAAACCAGGCACCGTGGGTTTTGGTCAGTCTCAAGGGGCTTCCTGGTGGCTCAGATGGCAAAGCATCTGTCTGCAATGCTGGAGACCCTGGTTCGATCCCTGGGTCAGGAAGATCCCCTGGAGAAGGAAATGGCAACCCACTCCAGTACTCTTGCCTGGAAAATCCCATGGACAAAGGAGCCTTGTAGGCTACAGTCCATGGGGTCGCAAAGAGTCAGACATGACTGAGCGACTTTACTTACTTTACTAAGTCTCAGTTGGACACGACTGAGTGACTAAACATAGCAAGAGTCCCTGCCATGTGAGTTTGAGTCCCAATCTCAGGTAAATGGTTTCAAGCACAACTTTCAGAAATGGAAAGATGATGACCTGCCCAATACTTTGTACACAGTGGCATAGATGGAGAGGAGCTGAAGGATAGGAGGAAAAAGCAGTGGGAAGAACATGCTGAGGAACCCCTTTCATAACTTTCTGGAGAAACTGCTAAATGCCTGATCTGTGCCCACAATTTTCATTGGCCTGATCCTTGGCACAAAGGAGGTTAGGGACAGAAGAACCCTCACCAGCCTGGGCAACAGCTACTAAGATGCAGCAGATAGTGGAGCCTTTGGGGCACACTGGGGTAACCCCTGCCAGAGTCCCTCATTTGCACCACTGCAACTCATCTGTTCGCAGGGGCTTCAAGGAAACAAGAAATGAGAGACTGTAAAGGGATTAAGATTTTGTTAGCCATATGTCCTTCCAGCCATAGGGGCAAGGACCTCCTACCTTAACCAGAGATCTTCTGGAGTCTGACACTGAGCTGCATGAGCTTTCTGCCAAGTTTGTTTTTGTTGTCCCGGTTTCCAGCACACAGGGCTTCTTGTCACTTCTGCTCTGCTGGGTTTCCTTTGCTTTCAGCTTCCACCACATGAGCGTTCAGCAAGTTGGGCTTCTGCTGCGCTTGGTCTCCACCTCACTGGGGCCGAGCCGAGGTTGTTTCAGCCAGGTTACATTTGAGACATGGCACCCACATGTCAGGGGAGTGTGTAATTTTCTCGGTTCTGTCTCACAGAAGCAAAGATTTGAAATAGCAGACCAGTGTTACAGCTCAGTTATAGCTCAGAGTTTTTTTCAGCAAACAAAGGATAGTACACCCTCAAGGCATGAGGGTCGGCCAGGCCCAAAGGGGAGGCCTCAGTCTTGGCTTCCTCCTTTTATACATTTGTCTCCTCCCCTCCTTGAGCCTGCCCTATGCACGTTGGGCTAGCCAAGGAGGGGCATGTTTGTTTCACTTGAAGTTCTCACTTCAGTCCACAGATTTTCTTTTGTTCCATTTTTGCAGGCTTTTCTCTTTGTCTTTTAGCCACCACCATTTTGGAATCTTTTTTCCTATTTTAACTACCCAATAATATCATATTGTTAGAGGAAGCACACTGACTGAAATCACCCACCTTGACCAGGCACCATCATAGTCATTTGTGTGAGTTATTTTATGACAGGAGGTTCTGGTAAGAAACACAGAACTAATAAGCCACCACTAAGCCGCTTCTTTCCCAGAAGTATTTGGGAAAGGGCAAAGGAAGACACCACATATCTGACCACCTCCTAGAATCCTTCTTGTTGGCATCCACCTTGGCTGAACAAAACAATGACTGAGTCAGAATGACCAGCCAAAGACCACCTGGAAACTAATCCCACCACCATAAAACCCAGGACTGCCAGCCACGTGGCAGAGCAGTTCTCCTGGTTCCCTGACCCTACTGCTCTCCACCTGGGTGCCCTTTCCCAATAAAATCTCTTGCTTTGTCAGTATGTGTGTCTCCTCAGACAATTCATTTCTGAGTGTTAGACAAGAGTCCACTCTCAGGCCCTGAAAGGGACCCCACTTCCTGAAACAATATAGTATTTGTCTTTCTCCATCTGATTTATTTCATTTAGTATTGCTGCAGAGAAGAACCAACTCTGACTCCATGTTGGAACCATTTCTTTGACTCGCTTTTCATAGCTGTTGTTATTATAATTATATAATGGCCTGCCTCAAGGGACCCTGTCCTTCTATGGTGACTGTTAAAGTGCCTTTGTTCAGCTCATAGATAATCTGACCCTGCTCACCTGTGAATAGCCATAGAAAAGAAGAGATTAACACATCCCTTTTCAAAGGTTGGCCCTTCCCAGAAATGTTTTGCAAGACTTAAGACACTCTTTACTTCCTCACTACCTCTCCCTCTGTATTCTCTTTTGACTTTAGTTCCACACAGCTTCTCTCTCTTGTTTTATAAAAGAATCTGGCATCCAGGCAGGCCTTGACAAGATGGCTACTTTGAAACATTAATCTGCCATCTTCTCAGTCAGCTGGCTTTTCAAATAAAGTTGTATTCCTTGCCTCAACACCTCAGTCTCATGGATTCATTGACCTGTTGTGCAGCGAGCAGAGTGAACTTGGACTCAGTAATACTGTGATAATCTTGAGATCCATTCATGTTACTGCAAAAAGCATTATTTCATTCTGGCTGAG